CAGTGTCTGCCCTGCAGAAACTACGAGAAAAGGGATGTTGTTTGCTTTAGCCACTGAGTGTTGGGGTGATTTGCTATGTAGCATCATTGACATGCATCAACCCATTCTCTTAACCACTGAGTTAAGTTAAAAAGCCAGTATATATACATATACATATATATATATATATATATATATATATTTTTTTTTTTTTTTGGTGGTACTGGGGTTTGAACTCAAGGCTTCATGTTACAAGACAGGTGCTCTACCGCTTGAGTCACACGTCTTTTTGCTCTGTTTAGGAGATAGGGTTTTGCTTTTGTGCCCAGGCTGGCCTGGACTGCAGCTGTCCTATTTTAAGCTTCCTGCTGTCACTGGGATGACAGGTGCATGTCATCACACCTAGCTATTGGTTGAGATAGCGACAACTCTTTTCCTGAGCTGACCTTGAACCATGATCCTCCTGATTTTAGCTAGGATTACAGGTGTGAGCCACCCGTGCCTGCTTCTGACTGGGCTTTTATTTACATCAGGTTTTGATAAAATGTTATTTGTACAGAATGATGTTGCACTGGCTACAGGAACAGTCACTCCCAGTAACTTCCTTACCCATAACAGTCAAATTCTTCAGTTTCCAGTGGCTTTTTCAGAAAAAAATCTCTAAGGAAGAATGTTTTCCAGATATAATTTCTCTTTCCCCTTTGAAAGTCACAAGATACATGCATATTTTAAATGAGCTAAAATATCTCATTTAAAATTCTGTTTTCCTCCTTGTTTGAGTTTTGGAATCTTTCCATATTTGTCAAATATGAGGTAAAGGAGAGTAACAGAGGGGGTTGAACTGACCAAAGCACAGACACATGGAGAATCCCCTCTGAACACTGACCTTTGACTTAAAAAGGAAGGACAGGACTGTAAAATAGGTCCTGTGAGGTGGTGGGTACTTGTGAGAGGGGAAGGTGAATGCAGGGGACAAAGGAGGGCAAAGATGGTTGGTATACTTTATATACGCCTATGAAATAGAACAATGCAGCCTTTTGTAATCTTTTTAAGTAGGGGGGAAGGGGGAAGTTGAGGCATGGTGGGGTGATCCCGATCGATGTACAATGTGAGCACATTCAGAATGTCATAATGAACCCCCTGTACAACTAGTATATGCTAATAAAAATGCTTTGAGGGAAAAAATAAGATGGTGGAAATAAACACATTTTGCACCCTAGAAGGCCAGTACCACATAAATAAAAACATGACATTATTTATTATTCCCACATCCCAGGCATGCTATTTATGGACCCACAGATAACCTTACACCTGGAAAAATAGAAAATTACTCGGGCTTACTCTTTGTCAAATCTACTAAATAACTGATTTTAAAAAATAACTTTTATAAAGGACACTCTTAAAGCTGTCAAAAAAACATAGGGCTGCCATAGTTAAACTTAGATGATTTACAAGTGTTCAAGGACGTCAGCAGAGTTTTAGGATGAGCAATACTAGAAGAGTTTAGTAGAAGTAGCATGTTAATTTGCCCAATCCCACATTTCTAGAACAAGCATGGAATGTGGCTACGGTCTGTCATAGGTGAGTTCTCTTCCTTTCATTACATACTTTATTTATTTGATGGATTTTCAAGAACTTGGCATGTACCTTGATCTGACCCTAAGAGTTTCAGCCAGATGATGGTCCCACAAACATTTGTTTGGCACCAAAGGAATATGGATGCCCTGTGCTAGGACCTGAGGAGTGGGGCAGACAGGTAGAAAGACTGGTCCTTCTCTTTGGGTAGCTGACAAAAGTAAACATGGGTAAATGAAACTTACATATGTCAAGCTGCTGGGAACAATATCACATTGCAACTATTCTGAACAAATGAAAGGAAGAGGTAGGCCTGGCATCTCCTCAAGATCCTCCCCACAGTTGTGTCCACTTTCCTTAATTTACCTCCCCCTGTCCCCCAGCTCTCTCACTCCATGCTGTGTGGGCAGCTATTACCTGTGTCCACTCTAGCACTACAGGGCTCCTCACCCATTTCCACCGGCCTCAGCCCATGCTGTGGACAAAGCCTCCCACCTGGCCCTGGACTCACACTCAGAGCCTCCCTGTGCTCACTTGGATGCAACACAAAGAGAGAGTTCTGTATGTGGGGAGTTGCACTCACTGGACCACTCTTCACCCATGGAAGACAGAAGCAAGGGAGAAATGGCCTCCTTTCTTGTCCCCCAATCAGAAATACTGAGATAAGTTGCATAAGATTCAAGAGAAGGACAAAAAGGGGCCTGGCATAAGTTGGTCCTGATGGCGACCACTCCAGTACTGCCCCCTGTGTTAGCATCCTCTGGATGTGAAAGGCCTGGGATGGACATATCAGCTTGGACTGCCATATCATCCAGGCACAAGAAAGGCCAGATCACCTGAAGATAAGGTGAGGCCAGGAAGAGACTAAAGGACACAGAAGGGGCACCCCAATACTTAGAGGACTGTGGTAAGGCCCCTCTTCTTCTAGCAGCACAATGAGACTCTGTCTTTTCCTCCCAGCTATCTGGTCTCCTTTTTCACACTCTCTGCATGGGGGATCCTTTTGTCTTCCTAATCTTTAGTATCTGTTGGAGTTCCTCAAGATGGTCTGTACCTTCCTTTGTTTTCATGCATTTCACAGATTTCTCCCTGCAGGTGACTTTGTTCACACTCATGACTCCATTTTCTTTTTAAGATAATCACCCTTTAGATTTTACCCATGTTGGGTGTTCTGTTTGACATCCACACCCACTTTTCTAGTCTCTTACTTGTAATTGCTTGTTCAATGTTCAAGTCACCTGAAACACAAGTCCAAAGCCTAGCCCATAATTAACTCAAGATACCTCCTTCCTCTGCTAGCCTTAAATCCAATGGGAGGCCTCCTTCCTTTCTCAGACACTCTGGATTTATTATCTATCTTACTTGCCTTGCACATGCCTGCCTCCGGAGGCTAAGGAACAGAATCCTTGCTGCATAAACATGGATGCATTAATCACTCAGTACAACAAAATTGTTTAGTGTTACTTTATCCAGATCAGAAGTATCAGGTTCTATAGACTTTTCTCATTTCAGCTTTTTAATCATTTTTATAGTTCTCTAAATCCATCCCAAATTTCCTATATTTTCCTTTGACTGACAAAACAAACCCAACCTGGTCTTACTCCAAATGTCAACAAATACTGCTGAGTGGGAAAGGGTTGTGTCAGGCATCCTAATTTCCATGGTTTCACGTGGTAAAGATCACATGCAGAAGAATGTCCACTGGCTTTGATGGCATCCCAGAGGCCCTTTCAAAAGGAGAACTGGGTGGGAATGGTGTGTCCCATCACAGAACCACGTGCACAAACCACAGAATCACACCTGTGAGGGCTCCTCTCCAAAGGAGCAGTCGTGAGGACCGCCTGCCATTCTGAGGACAGGGCAGGACAGTGTGTTAAAGGCTTCTGGGAGCAGATGCTCTGTGCTCATACAGCACTGAATCCTGCTGTTGTAAATGATTCTCTAGGAAGATGACCTGAACCTTTCCATATTTCACTCTCTCAGGTGTCAGCTGTGCTCCTGGGACAGAATGTCTGGGGTCCTTCAAATATCTGTGGAGGATTTCTTTCCCTCAGGGATGGAGATGTAGCTTTGGGAGTTTCCAGGACCCATGGACATCATAACCAGGACCTCAAAGTTAAATAGGCCAGTTTAGGGCTGAGTATGGGAAATGCAGCCCCAAGTTTGCCAACTGTTCCCAATCACACACACACACACACACACATGCATGCCCAGTTGTTTCAAAGAATTTAGATTGAGAAAATGAAAACTTTTAGATAATAGACATTCAAGGAAATTGAAAAACTGAACATAGAGTTTAATAAGTCTACATTTGAGCCTAATTACTTGGAAGCTGAGATCAGGAGGACTGTGGTTTGACATCAGCCCAGACAAATAATTCATGAGACCCCACCCCCGCTTCTCCAAAATAACCAGAGCAAAATGGGCTGGAGGTCTGTCTCTAATGGCAGAGTGCCTGCTTTGCAAGTACAAAGTCCTGAGTTCAAACCCAGTCCCTTCCCCCAGCCCAAAAGTCTACATTTGGAGAAATAAAGTTGAAATGTCCAATAAATAATCCAGCTGGCAAACAAACTTTTAAAAGGTATTTTGAAAACACCTTCTGAAGGGGAATAAAGAAGGGGGAGGGAAAAGAGAATGAGAAGAGGAGAGAGACAGACAGACAGACCCAGGCTTAGGAACTTTTTGGCTGCTATTCAAGCCCAGAGTGAGCTTTTTACAGAAAATTCTGGCAAAAATTTTCTGGAGGCATATGTAAAGTTCTCTAATTTATATAATGACACTGACAGTTCAGCTTTCACCAGAACACCAAGATGACCAGGAGATAAGAGACATTATTTTAGTTTGGGGAGAAGCTGGCAGGTACATTTTGTTCTTAGGATGAAAGGGATTGCTTGAGGGGAAAAACACTGAACGATAGGGTATGATAAATCTCCAAGAAACCCCCAAGAAACAGCTCTGAAATTGAGTGATTTTTTTTCCCTGCCAAGGAGTTTTTATTCCTTTCCTTTCTGCTAGGTGGCAGTATAACATACAGAAGAGACTGTCCCAGGTCACAGAATATTTCAGGACTCAAGGACCACAGAGAATGAAGGGTAAAGAAAATCTACTTAATGAGATATCAGAATAGAGAAGCGATTCATTTGCAGATGTCAAAGGGAGGTACTCACGGGTTCCACGTTGTAGGAAAAAAGTGCATATTCTTTATCGGGAGATATTTCGTATCTGATGGCTTTTAATGACGCCTAAAGAAAAAAGGAAAACAAAGAATTTTAAAGTATTGCATGTAACAACCCAGAGGCCAAGCTAGTGACATTTTCAAGATTTGCTAATAAAAATAAGGAACATCAAACCAGCTTAGATCTATTCAAGTGGAGGCACCTTTGTTAGTTGAACAATGTTTGGTTAATTGAAGTTTTTTCAAATTTTATGGTATCTTAAAAAATTTCAGTAAAAGAATCTTTATTGTATTTGCTGAAACAAATCAACAGAAAAAAGAAGAAAACAAATAGCTTTTCCTATAAGACTTCCATCTTTTCTGCTAATTTTTTCATAGTTCACAAAAAGTGTCTTTCATTCTCATAATTAGAAGTACACAGTAAGTAGAGTTGTTATTAAAATAGTCGCATTTTACAAATTATTCTGCAACTTGTTTCTTTCACCATAGATCTCCCTACAAGTCAGTATATAGAGGACTCACTCCCACCTTTTCTGCTAATTTTTTCATAGTTCACCTGTCATTGTGACATAGGGTTCAGGCAAGGAGTTAGGAAACCTGATGGCTAACAGTGACTTTGATGTTGATAAAATCATAGCCTCACCTGTTGACATTAAAGGAACAATTTGTGATACACAGCAGGGTATTGTTTACACACAGCCAGTGGAGCCATGTCTGCACCAACCCTATACCCACCCTAAGAGCCTTCTTTGTCAGCCTATGTGTACTACTCCATACATGCTCAAACACATGGGACACAGGGAGACATGACAGTGACATCACAAAACACATCTCTGCACCTAGCTTTCTCATGCAACAAGACCTTAAGGAAATGACTTCGAGGTGCTGGGTTCGCTTGGATTAGTGACGTTTAAAGATTTCATAATACTTTAATCACCTTCATATGCATTAATTTACTCAGTCCTTACTAAAGGGTGACAGTCTTGTTATTCTTGGTGACAATGTGCCACAAAGTCACCATGAACAGCAAGCTAAACCTAGAGGAAACACAGGACTAGGTTCAGTCAAACCTTTGTGGTCACGTTTTTGTCAACTGATTAATACAGAATCTTGTTTGATGTTTCTGTGTAAAGACAGCTTGTTGACTATACACAGCTGACCCATTAACACTGAACTCCTGGTTAACAGGGCTGTAACAGCCTGAATGAAGTGGACATGACACTCCCTTGTATTTTCTCTGCCAGGAGCATCATGGTCTTCTAAACATTTGTCTGGGGATAAGCAGTGAGCTAACCAACAAACACAAGCATGCAAAAACGGTAGCTCAGTAGACAACATGAAGGAGTCATTTACAGGACTGAGGCAGTGTAGAAGTAGGAAAAGTTTGGGATTCATGTATAGGTTGCCCAGGGATGGCTAAGACCACCCTCACCTGGCTGGGAATCGCCCATGCCCCTCCCCACTTGTTCATTACTGGATGGGAATCTTCTGGATCTGCCCTTCCCGTGGTTAGAGTAGGTTTTAAAAGCACCTGGAGAAGAGACGCACGCTCTCTCTGTTGGTAGACTCCACCTGCGGCCACCATGCTTCCTTTAGTATTTCCCTTCCCTAACATTTAATAAACCCCATTTGCGCCCACGAGTTCAGCTTGGATTCTTCCACATCAGAGTGCAAGAACAAAGGTCTTCTGGGAAGACCATTTGCAGAAGACGGGAGCCGAACTGAGAGCAGAACATTGCCTTGTTCTACCTTAGCTGGGAGCAGGAGCACGAGAAACCTTGCTATTCCACAGAATGACTGCTAATGTGCTGTGAGTGTTGCTTTGGGGATACAAGTAAATTTTTATCATATAGGCAAGTTTTCAGATCTGGAAACAGACTCAGGAGACCAATGGTACGTGTTTTCCCTCAGCTGTGACTGTAGATGATGCTGTAACAAAGACCTCCATCTAGGTGTCTTTACTGATGTGTATGTGCTCTTAAAAAAAACCTTACATAACAACCATCTAAGGGGGGGAGCAATGATGACCAAATTAAAAAAAATTAAACAGATTTTGCTTTCCAAAAATGTTCTGACACTTGTGCTCACTGCTGACGTGCAAACACACCCTTCCTCCCTCCTCAGGAAGCCTAATGCACTTTTCTCAAGTTTGACCCTTTGTGGTAAAGCAGTGCTTCATTGGGAACTTAGTTTCTGTTTCCCTCTTCCTACGTCCACTTGGTCCTCACTACCCATGGTGTGGTCAGTGTGGATTTGGTTGTTAGAACACAATCCAGCCCTGTCCCTGGAAAGTATTTTCTATGCTCTGATTTCTCTTCCATTCTTTCATAAACTCCTACCACATTTTACTCCCGTTACTCAGCCCCAGCACACACCACCTGCGTCCTCCCACCTCCCTCTCGGTCTTCCCCTGAGCACAAGGGTGACTTGGGATTAACATTTGGATCTCTTGTGTAGTGAAAGTCATTTTAGGTGACATGATCTAGCCTCATGGATTCTGACATTTGCATCTCTTGCCAAGACACCTGACCGGGGCCTGACGACCCTCTGACTGTACATCCAACTGCCTCCTCCCAGCTCTACCTGGATAACCAGTAGGACTGTATATAACTCAGCCCTTCTCTTCCATCCCTTGCCCCCCAGCTTCTGCTTCTCTGCAGGTGGGAGCCACCTGGTTCCTGCAGTGGTTTTCTTTTCTCTCTGTTGTATACACCTTACATCTAGTTGGCCAGAAAACATAGCTGGCTGACTGCGGAAACATTCGGAATGACTCTCTCTTCCCTGTGGCCACCACCCTTGTCAGTAGCAGGGCACTTTTTCTTGACATACACAGTGGCCTTCCAGTCACTTCCCCAGGCTGTCTTTGCTCCAGGGGCACCGAATCTCCCTCAGTGGTATTTTGGTACTTGACATCTTTTCAATGTACGAGTCACCACCTCGCTCCCTGCTGGAAACTCTCCCCCAGTAGTCCATCCCACCAGAGGTCACGGCCACGGTTCTGACACCAGCAGGAAAACCCTGGCCCTTTCTCTCTCAGTGCTCAGCTCACATCTGGTCCCCTCCCGCTTCGCTCCAGCCACAGCTGTCTCTACAGCTTCCCCAGAGGGCCAGGCGCACATGTGTGCCAGGCCTTTGTACTCCTGCTGCTGCTGCTGCTCTGGGATGTTCTACACCTTTCATTTCTTTTAGGTTTTATCTCAAGTGTCCACGAAGGTCCTCTATATCCTTCAATGCCATTTACTGAGAAATTAATAACTGTACCTTCAATTTCCATAACACCCTTCTCTGATTTATTTCCCGAGACCTAACCATTATCTGAGACAATATGTTGTACTTATTTATCTTATAAACCACCTGTTCCCCTCACTAAGATGTAAACCCCTCAAAAAAAAAAAAAGGACCTTCGATCTTTCTCTGGAATGTTTTATAGTTTTCAACACACAGTTCTTACCATAGTTTGTTAAATTTATCCCCATGTATTTAATAAGTCTTAACGTTTTGTACATATAAGTTTCAATTTCAATATTCCATTGTTTATTGCTAATACACAGACATAAAATCAATTTGGGCATCTTGAATTTATTTTCTGACACTGCTGAATTTATTTGTCTTGACAGGATTTTTTCTTTCTTTGTAGGTTCCTTAGGGATTTCTTCATAGTCATGTGTTCTGTGGATTGTTCTCTTCTTCTCTTCCCCCTTGAAGCTTTTTGTTTTTTACTGCCCCAGCACTCTCTGGAGGCATGGCAGTGACCATGGCCGGGGGATGCATGGTCCTGCATGGCTGCCCACCATAAGCAAAGGTGCCAAGCTCTACCATTTCCTACAGTGGCAGGAAATGTCTTTTGAGGATGACTTTCTCAAGTTGAAGATGTGAAGAGTTCACTCCTAGCTGTTCGGAACTTTTATAGTGAGTATGTACTGGATTTTTGTTTTTTATACATTTATTGAGATGATTCTGTTCTTTGCTTTTTATGGTTTGTCTAGCTGGTCAATTACACTGATCTCCAGAGGTTAAATGGAAACCTTGCATTCCTGGGATAAACTGTATCCAGCCATGGTGTAACATCCCTTTTAAATGTTGCTGGGTTTAACCTAGTCATACTTTGCTGAGGATTTGTGTTGAGGAGGGACATGTGTGTGTGGTTTTATTTTCTGGTAATATCTTTGTTGGGTTTTCATGTCAGGGTACTATGGGCCTAAGAAATGGACTTGAGACATATTTCTTCCTCCTCTTGGTTCCTTTTCTGTAGCTATAACAAAATACCCAAGACTGGGTGATTTATAGAGGACAGAAGTTTATGTGGCTCATGGTTCTGGAAGCTGGGAAACCCAGGCAAGCCCCCGGTACTTGCCACCTGGTCAGAGTCTCCTTGTTGCATTGTGACTTGCTGCAGGGCATCACAGGGAGACAGTGCAGTGGTGTTCGGGTCCCTCCTTACAAAGCCACATGGGACCCTGACCTTAAGAACTCACCTAATCCCACTCACTGCCCCTGGGCCCACCTCCCAGTGCATTAGTAGATGAATTTGGGGATTAAATTTCTGATATTTTCAGACCTTGTAAGTTTGAGTAGAATTGATATTTTTTCTTTCTCAAATGTTTGGTAGAGTTGATCAGTGAAGTCATTTGGGCCTTAAGTTTCCTACATGTAGCATTTTTAAAATATTAATTCAAGTTATTGTATCTATGGGTGTCAGGTTACTTATTCCTCCACTAATGAACAGGAATAATTTGTGTCTTCCTAGGATTTCTCCATTTCATTTACATTGGCAAATTGACTGATTTAAGGCTGTTCACGGTACTTTAATTACCTTTGTAACATCTGTAGTGGTGGCCTCTGGGTTATAACAGATGCTCCCTCAGTGTTTGCTGAATGAATGAGTGATTCTTGTCATGAAGGTGGCACGCCATGACTGATGTAACAATAAAGCCAGAGGAAACCGCAAAGATGCGATTTCTGCCTCAAACATGAGTCTGACTGTGTCCTCTGGGGTGGAGATGGAGCTCACCTGAGATCTGAGAGGCTCCCCAATCTTGGCATGATCTCATGCACCTCTGAGCAGCC